CCACCTCGTCCGCCGAAGGCCCCTCGCTGGACCAGGAGCCCACCGCCTCCGCCCAGGCTACGTAAGAGGACGCGGGCAAGCCCCGCGGGCCACGCCTCAGGCGAGGCCGCCCCGCCCGCCCCAGGACCCGCCCACTGTCGCCCGGCCCGCATTTTTTAAAAAATAAAGTTTCCTGGCTTAGTCCACCCTTCAACTTGGGCAGACCCAACAAGCTCACTGGCTCCGGGGACCCTGGCCTCGCTCCCAGTCTGGGGTTCGAGGGTCGCTGCTCTTCCCGCTGTGTGGTCCAGGACGCGGGCGTGCCCGCCTCCATATCCGACCTAGGAGGGTCCCAGCAAGTCCATTTAGGGACCTGGGGTCACACCCTCTGCAGAATCCCTTGGCCGATCCAGTTCTGGCCTGACCCCACCTGGCTCAGGAAGGGTGGGGGCGACGGTCCCGGAGCTCATTGGCTCCTAAGAAGTTCCGGCCATGCCCTGCCCCTAGTGGGGGCCGTGCCCCTAGTGGGGTGTAGGGGGCATAGATGCTGACCCGGGACTTGGCTTCCCCTTTCCGGCGCCTTCCAGTCTCCCAATCCTTGGGTTTTGCCTCCCTCCGTCTCCCTTCCCTTTCCCGTCTGTCTGTCTTTCCATTGGTCCGGGCTCCTCACGTGCTCCCCGAGTTTCCGCGGGTGGGACGGGGCCCGGGGCGGGGCGCAGAGCTGCACCTCCCTTTCCTAGCCCAGTCATCTCCCGCCCCACAGGCCCCAGCCGGGCAGGCGGGAGGTGAGCGCCGCTGTCCCCCTCCGGGACTTCCGGCATCGAGGAGGTGGGGGCCGGGCCCTGAGGAAGGGACTTGGGGACCAGGGCGGCCATGGGGGGTAGAGGGGGCTGGAGGTGTGCAAGATTTCTCTCCGGGGCCGGGTCGAGCTGTCCTATGCTCCACGCGGCCCTGCGCCCCCTCTCCCCAAGATCTTTCAGGGGTGCTGCATTCCCGCGGGAGGTGACCCACGCGGGAGCTGGGAGTCTCAGGGGTGACCCTTGGTAAGTGTCACTGCGTCCTTCCCTTACTCCAGTCCGTAGTTCCTGGTCATTTGCCGGCGTTTCCGGGGCCCAGCGGCTGTGGATGGCAGAAGCCCAGGGTGGGACTGGACAGCTGCAGGAGCAGAAGAAAGGTAGGACACCCCGACTGTGGCCCCGGGCTTCTGAGGAGCTGCCTCTCCATGTCCCCTGGGTATTCCTGGGAAGACACCGGGGCTGTGACGCATCGTCCCTTCCCTCCCGGCCAGGTCTCCTGATAGCCGTCAGCGCCTCCGTGGATAAGATCATCTCCCACTTCGGGGCCGCCCGGAACTTGGTTCAGAAGGTGAAGGTGGCTGCGAGGAGGAGGTTGGGAGCGAGGCGATTAATGTAGCTCTGGGGGCTCAGACACTGTTGGCATGACTTGGGGTATCTCTGGACCCACCCGCATTGCGCCACCTGCAGGCCCAGTTGGGGGATAGCCGACTGAGCCCGGATGTTGGGCACCTGGTGCTGACCACCCTCTGCCCGGCCCTCCACGCCCTGGTGGCCGACGGGCTGAAGCCTTTCCGGAAGGATCTCATCACCGGGCAACGCAGGAGCAGCCCCTGGAGCGTGGTGGAGGCGTCGGTGAAGCCAGGTACTCACCTGGGAGGTACTCGCCTGCGGAGGCGGCGGGCTGGGCCAGGCCCGACTGACCACGCCCCATGTGCTCAGGCTCCAGCCCCTGTGCCCTGGGCACCCTGTACAGCCAGGTCAGCCGTCTGGCCCCGCTGAGCAGCAGCCGCAGCCGCTTCCATGCCTTCATCCTGGGCCTCCTCAAGTGAGTGGCCTTCTCCCACTGTCTTTCCCGACCCGGGGACTGCAGGGACGTCATGGGTGGGACCCAGTCATGAGCTCCATGTCCCCAGAGAAACCCTCCCTTCTCCCCATCTCCTCTCCCCACCCCACCCACCCCCAGGGGGCTGAATTCCTCTGTCTCCCGAACTTCTTCCCTTTTCCTCCACCAGCACGAAGCAGCTGGAGCTGTGGTTTTCCAGTCTCCAGGAAGATGCAGGTCAGAGGCTGGATGGGAGAGGGGTGGGGTGCTGGGCTGGGAGGGAGGAGCCTGGGCTGGCATCTCTCCTGCTGCCCTCTCTGACCCGCGATATTAATCCATGTTTCCAGTCTTACTAAAACTCTTCCAAGGCGCTCCATTGCCCAGAGGAGCACCAGAGCTCCTGGGCAAGACCCAGAGCCTCTATTATGGAGCCCCCTCCTTGTTCTCCTGCCTCCAGGTTCAGGGCTTTCCCTGGTCTGCAAGTTTTTCCTGCCCCAGGGCCTGCTTAGGCTGTCCCTCCTCCCAGAATCCCCTGCCCTCCTGCTTCCTCAGGCATTTCATTCCTCCTCAGGGAGGCCCCCCCTGCACCCTCAGACTAGGCCACCCCCACCCCTACTCTGCATGTGCTCCCAGAGCCCACCTGCCCATCTCCTTTCCACTGTCCCTCAGGTATCTGTCACCATGTGATCTGCTGTGTCTCCTTCTAGGCCATGGTTTCACACAGGCAGGGACCTGGCAGTCGTATGGCCACCATGTGCCCCTCACTCCCTGCCCAGTGCCTAGCACAGTGCGGCCTGGAAGGGTGCTCGTGACTGAGGCCGGGGTTCCTCTGGCACTGAGCTGGGACAGGGCCTGATGCTGGCTTGCTCTTCTCCAGGCCTGCTGTCCCTGCTGTACCTGCCCACGGGATTCTTCTCCCTGGCCCGGGGCGGCTGCCCCTCCCTGTCCACGGAGCTGCTGCTCCTGCTCCAGCCGCTGTCAGTGCTCACCTTCCACCTGGACCTGCTCTTTGAGCACCACCACCACCTGCCCCTGGGCCCGCCTCAGGGCCCAGCCCCTGCAGGCCCGCCTCCAGCCCTGCAGCAGACTGTGCAAGCCGTGCTGCACTGGGGGGGCCGGCTGGCCCAGAGCCTTCGGGGAGCCTCTGGGGAGGCCGCGCCGGGCCCTGTGGCTGCCCCCAGCCCTCCTGCAACAGGCAGCTGGTGGGAACAGCTGACCCAGGCCTCCCGGGTCTATGCCTCTGGGGGCACAGAGGGCTTCCCTCTTCCCCGGTGGGGACCCAGGCGTCGTGGGACTGCAGCCGAGAGTGCACAGGAGAGACCCCCACCCGCAGAGGAAGCAGCGCCAGGCAGAGGCGTGTGGCTGGGGAGGCTGTTTGGAGTGCCTGGGGGCGCCACGGAGACTGAGAATGGAGCCATCAAGTCCAGGTACCCAGGACCTTCTGATCCTCTCTCAGGGTCCCCAGGGCCTCATTTGGGACTCCCTATTTTTTTTTTTTAAAGAATTATTTATTTATTTATTTCCATTTGCTATTGTTATTTTTTTTTTCTTTATTTGATGAGAGAGAGAGAGAGAGAGAGAGAGAGAGAAGAGAGAGAGAGAGAGAGAGAGAGAAAGGGAAAGTGAGAAAGCAAGCTGCCAGGTCCAGGACTTGAACCATGGTTGGCCTTGTGGGAATCCAGCGCCTTTATCCACCACGCCACCTGCTGGCCCCAGTAACTCATTTGGGACTCTTTATGAAGATCCCTTAGTTGATTGAAAGCTAAAAATGGTTGCATACTCCAATAGTTTCTTTTTCATGGTTATATAAGTACTGTTCTTGATTTTGCCTCTTGGCCCTCAGACTCTAAATTATTTACTATCTGGACTTTTAATAAAAAAAAAAAAAAAAAAAGGTTTGCTGGCCTCTGCTCTTGGGCTTGGTGTGAGTGGCCTTTTAACGGAGCCTCTCTGGATCTCAGTCTGTGGAGACCCTGCTGGTGCCTAAGCCCCTTGGGACTTTAGGTGCTTTAGACCTTTGTTGTCATCCCCTAATCACCCTGAGGCATTGGTGTCCTGCAACTGCCATGCTGCCTCAGCAGTGACCAACTCTTCTTGTTCTTTTTTTTTTTTTTTTTTCCTAGAGGGCACATGCTTTCACCACAGAAAGAGAGACAGAGAGAGGGAGAGAGAGAGCACGCACTGTGGGGAACAGTCATGCTGCAATCCCTTCTCCACTCTCCGTTTGGGATTTTGGGGCACGTATGCACGTGTCTGGCATGTTTCTCAAACTGCCAGCACTGGGACTTGAACCTGTATGATTAGCCTTATGGGATCTGGTTGCCTTGACCACTAGACCATGAACCTGGCCCATTTTTTTTTTTTTTTGAGAGATTTTCACTGTAGGGCGTGTGTGCTCGCCAGACAGACAGAGAGAGACATAGAGACAGAAAGCGAGAAATCACCCCCCGGGGGGAATGGTCACGCCGCAATCCCTTCTCCTCCATTCTCCTCTCGGGATCTTGGGCACGCACGCACACACGCCCGGAGTGAGTTTTAAGCCACCGGGTCCGGGACACGAACCGCGGTCGACTACGTGGGAGTCCAGCGACATAGCCATTACGCTAACTGCTGGTTCCCGACCTGGCCCATTTTTAAACAAGTTTTTATTTTTTCTTCCATGAACGAGATAGAGACAGAGACAGAGACATAGCACCCCAACAGCGTCTTGGCACTGTAACGCACCAGCTTCAGCCAGCCTTGAATCATGGGCACACATGTGCCTGCTTATTTACGGAGGCCTCTGGATGTGAACTGGGAACCTTCTCATATGGGTCAGCCTTCCAAAGCACCCCATTTTACTGCTGCACTGCATCTGGCCCCTGGACCTCTTTGGAACCAGTCATTCTCGGCCAGCGGCCAAGGGGTCAGCCTCTCCTCTCCTCTTATTCTGGCCTCATGGGTCCTTTTTCTGGAGGTGGAGTGACTTCTGTGACCCAGTGTTCTTTCTTCCAGGAGACCATCCAGCTGGCTGCCCCCAACAGTGAGTGTGTTGGCTCTGGTGAAGCGGGGGGCACCCCCTGAGACTCCTTCTCCTCCTGAGGAACTCGAGGTCTCGGTGCCCAGTGTGGTGCAGAACCACAGGTAAGGTGGGGAGACTGCTCTGAGGTGTAACCATGCGTGCTGTTTTATGTGTGTGTTTCTGTCTGCACGGAGTGGGCGGGAGATCCCGTGGAAGACACTGGGCTTTAAAATCGCACAGTGCTTAGATCAGCAGATGGGGGACCAGCAGTTAGCGTAATGGCTATGTTGCTGAACTCCCATGTAGCCGACCCCGGTTTGAGTCCCGGACCTGATGGCTTAAACTTACACCAGGAGTGCATGCGCGTCCATACCTAAGATCCCAAGAGGAGAATGGAGGAGAAGGGACTGCAGTGTGGCCATCCCCCCTGGGGGGTGATTTCTCGGTTTCTGTCTCTCTGTTTCTCTCTGTCTTTCTGGCGAGCACACGTGCCCTATAGCAAAAACCTCTACCAAAAAAAAAAAAACAAAAAACCGGACAGTGCTTAGTTTATATTGTATCTTTTCTATTTTTATTGGCATGACATTAATTTACCTGAGACTTAGTTTCTTCCTCTTTAAAAAGATCATTTATTTATGTATTTATTTTTAAATTCCTTTTTTATTTTTTTTTGGTAGAGGTTTTTACCTTACAGGGCATGTGCTCCCCAGGGGAGATTGCCATGCTGCAGTCCTTTCTCCTCCATTCTATTCCTGGAAACGGGCACGGATGCGCACGTGTCTGGCATGAATTTCAAGCCACTGGGTCCAGGACTTGAACTGTGGTCAGCCATGTGGGAATCCAGCGACATACTGCAACGCCGTCTGCTGGCCCTGAGAGAGTAATTTATAATGCCTTTATTATGGTCCTTGAGAAGATTAAACATAATTTTACAAAAACATCAAGCGCCCAGCAGGTGCCCAGTTAGTGGTGACGTTTTTACCGCTCTGTGTGTACACTGAGGGGTTGTGCATCCCTTTAGGGGGTCTTCTAATTTGGCACCGGGCTGCTTCTACTTTGGGGTATTGTTCAAGTCCTCTCAGCCCACCAAATTACACCTGCTGATTTTTCATTCACTCGGCCGTATTTTTCCGGTACTTATATGGGACAAGCATTATGCAGGGGAGGAGAGCCAAAGGTAGGCGTCTTGGAATCCCCACCCTCTGCTTCAGTGGGAATACCAGTGGGGCTGGCGGGCGGTATGGCCATACCCCTGGGGGCGCTGGACTCCCATATGGCCAACCACGGTTTGAGTCCCAGATTTGGTGACTTGCTTTCTTACTTTCTTTCTCTCTCACTCTGGTCAAATTAAAATAAATCAAGTTAAATAAAATAATTCTTAAAAATATAAAAAATGGGCAATTACAATGTAATATGGTAAGACTAGGAAAGAAAGACCAAGTCCTTTGGGGCTGTGTAGACGGCTTCTTCCCCAGTCTGGGGGACTCAGGCCCCGTGACAGTGTGGAGGTGTGCATCCGGCAGGAGAGTCTGGAGGCCCAAGTGTAGTGAGAAAGGAACTGTGGGTACATGGGGGTTGTGGCTGAAGTGGGGGTGCAGACAGCAGTGATGGCAAAGCTGGAGGAGTGAGGAGCCTGACTTTATTCTGAAGTTGGGGGGACCCCTTCAGGGTGGTAAGCCTAGAAATGACACATTTGCTTATGTTTTAACAAGAGCTCTGAGTGCTGTGTGCAGAATGGGCCGGGGGAGCGTGGCCAGGAGAGGTCCCTGCAGACCAGTTAGTGTCCACGCAGTGGCCCAGAGGAAGGGCAGAGGCCCTGGGTGGTGGGCTGGGGTTGAAGACAGAGCTGGCTGCTGCAGCGGTGCAGTGGGGATGCCACGCTCTGAGGCTGAAGCCATGGGGAAGGTTCCAGGGTCACGTCTTCAGGCCTCCCTGTGCACACACGTGCACGCACATGCCTGGGGCCTGGCTGGCTGAGGCTGGTGTGGATCAGTGTGAAAACTCTTGGGGGTGCTCTCTTTCTCATGGAGACAAATGAATAAACTTAAAAATAAGTGTGCAAAAAAGAGAGAGGACTAGATGGAGCAGTAGGAGATACGGGCCCCGGGCAGGTTTGGTAATGGATTAGATGGGAGGACTGGTCCGCCCAGGCTTCTGCCCGGAGTAGCTGGGTAGAAAGTGGCGCTGTGTATCGTAGGCACTGGAGGGTCTGGTTTGGAGGGCGAAGACAAGTCATTTCGTTTAGATTGGAAGCACCCGAGAGAAGTGCTGATAGCGTCAAGTAAGCAGCCGGAGTGCGGTTCGTGCTTAGAGGGATGGGGCCCCAGATAGAAGTGATGGTCCCCGAGTCTCTTCCCGAGTCCAGTGTTCCCTGAGCTGAACCACAAGGGTGCTCCACACAGGTTTGGGACAGCTGGCCACCCCACCTCCCAGCATCCTCCTCTGGCTCCCTGTAGGGCGGTTCGGGCTCTCTGTGACCACACCGCGGCGGGACCTGACCAGCTGAGCTTCCGGCGCGGGGAAGTGCTGCGTGTCATCGCCACAGTGGATGAGGACTGGCTCCGCTGCGGGAGGGATGGCACGGAGGGGCTGGTGCCTGTGGGGTACACCTCCCTTGTTCTCTAGCCCTGGGACCTTTTCCTTTCCTGCGTATGCGTCTCCCCATCACCTGGGAATGGAGTGGCCCGCGAACACTAACCCATGTACACAGCAGCGTTCTCCTCGTCTGCAAGGTGACGTTTCCCACACGCACTCCTGCTAAGATTGAAAATAAACTTTCCTTCTTCCCTCCCATGCCCATCTGTAAGGTGAAATCTGCTCTTCTGCAAATATTTAAAAAGAATCCCCTCCATGCAGCCCCTTTCCTCTTTCCTTCCTGTAAGAGGGGGCGTCTTTCTATCCGCGCAGTGGAAACCCAGCCTCCTCCACCTTCGCCATCCGGTGGACTTGCCGGTACAGTAGATGCCGCGGTGTCCTCCCTGCGAATGGAGCCGCCCCGCCTCCCGCGTTGCCTGTATTCATGATGTACTCACACTGTACGCTGTGCGAGGCGCCGAAGCCTGGGCACCCCTGGGCGGGCTGCGGTGTTGGTCTGCCTCCTTCCTCCTTTGTCCCAATAAAGTGCGGGAGTCCAGTGTGCGTCTGTCACTGCGGGTTTCAGGGCGGAAGCTGTGGGGAGGGAGAGGCCGTCCAGGAGGCGAGAGACAGGTGCTTCCTTCCCAGCCCGGGCTCAGTTCGTTTCCTGAGGAGCGAAGCGGCCAGACGGCAGCTGCATCTCACAGGTGCGCCTCTGCTCAGAGACACTGGCTTTGTTTTGTTAGGCTGGGAGCCCGAGCATGGGGGAGGAAGGCAGACTTAGCCCTTGACATTATTCTCATTAGATTCCTATCTGAGGTAAGGACTAGAGTTGCCAGAAGTGACACTTTTTTTCTATTTAGATCACTCTGGTGATGCAGTATCAAGTGGAAGCTGGTGAGCAGGTGGTTGGGGTGGCTGGATCCCGCATGGCGGGTTTGAGTTCTAGACCTGGCAGCTTGAAAAACACACCTGGGTGTGTGTGTGCATGCCCCAAATCCCAAGAGGACAGAGAAGGAATTGAAGTGTGGCCATCCGCCCTGGGGGATGCTTTCTCACTTTCCCTCTCCCTCCCTCTCTCTGGCAAGTGCACATGCCCTATAGGAAATAGAAAACAAAAGTCAAAACAAAAAATCCTGACATTGGTCACTTTTTTTTTTTAATAATTATTTAACTTTATTTATTTTAATTTGACCAGGAAGGGAGAGAGAGAGAGAGAGAGAGAGAGAGAGAGAGAGAGAGAACGAAAGTGAGAAAGCAAGCCAGCAAGTCCAGGATGCGAACTGTGATCGGCCATGTGAGAGTCCAGAGTCCCCAACCACCACACCACCTGCTGGCCCCGACATCTGTAACTTTTTAAGGAGTGAGTTTCCTTTTGGTCAAGATAATGAAGCCTTTTTCTTTTTTAAAAAAGTTATTTTTGTTTAACTTTATTCATTTATTTATTTTAAAATTTCACCAGAGAGGGACAGAGTGAGAGATTGGGAGGTCAGAACGCAAACTGCTAGGTCTGCTTAGGGATTTGAACTGTGGTGAGCCATGTAGGAGTCCAGTGTCCTTAACCACCATGTCACCTGCTGGCCCCAAGATAATGAAGTCTTTTTCTTTTAAAGAATTACCTAACTTTAATTTGACCAGAGAAGGACAGAGGGAGAGAGAGAGTGAGAAAGCAGGCCACCAGATCGGGGACTCGAACCATGGTGGGCCATGTGAGAGTACCAAAGCCCTAAGCCACCACACCACCTGCTGGCCCAATAATGGGAAACCTTTAAAATGCTACAGAGGTTTCAGGACAGAGCTGGGTATCACTATAGAGGGTTGTCTACCTAGACAGAGGAGAAATCACCAAAAGTTTAGAGTGGGAAGCCATAATCGTAACCAGATAGCAGGAAAGTTAGAAGGTGTGAACTGTGCAGTGAAATGGCAAAGAAATCTGTAACTTTTCCTTTACCTACGGGAACTTGGTTAAAGACAATGGCTGGTGAGAGGCAAGGAGGCTAGTGAAATTGAACTCTTAGAGCCAAAGCTCTGGAAGTACTCAGGAACAGACCAGTCTAGAATCAGATACCTCGTTCTTTTGTCCTTCTCTAAAGGCTGCCCAATCCTGGCAAATTCGTGTTACTCCTCTGGCCCCTGCTCTCATTGTTGCTTGTGTTTAGCTGCTCTCTCGATTTTAGACTCAGTATAATTTCAAATATTTTCTAGGGTGATGTTTCCCAAACTAGATTCTGAGGGCCTCTAGGAATCCTGTTATATTTCTAGAAGTCTAGTTGAGACTTCAATGGCAAATCACTACCACACAAGAAGCTGAATTCTGTGTTGTTTAAAGTTACATAATGGCAGACACGGAAGACTGCTCATCGCTCTGACACTGGGACCAGCGTTTCTCCGAGTGACACCTGCAGGGCAGTCTCGAGGGGCCCATGATTCTTAGGTTTTAGGAACTCTGATGTGGAGCTCTCATTTCCTGTCACTCCATCTGCCTCTCCTGACTCCTCTTTCCTGTCCTTAGTTTTGGAGGGCTAACCATTACTACTGTGAACTCTAGAACCACGTTGTTGAAGCCAGTGAGCTCTGGTCTGATGTGACATGTGTAGTCAGAACTAGATGGTTCATGGGTTCATGTAGATGGGCATAGAACTGTGGGACCTTCTTACTAAACAGGAAATACACCAAGCAACGGTAGAAAATAGTTTTGTAGCATTATTATGTATCTAGGAGAGCTTGGACTGGATACCAAAGATTAAAAATTAAAGATAAACTTAAGAGGACCAGCCAGTGGCACGGTGGTTAAAGTAGCTGGATTCCACATGGCCAACTGCATGGTGTGAGTCCTGTGCCCAGCAGCCTGAAAAATGTGCAGAGTGCATGAGCATGCCTGCTCGAAATTCTGAGTGCAGAAGGGACTGTGGTGTGGCCACCATCCCTGGGGGTTGCTTTTTCTGTCTCTCTCCATTGAGGATGCATGTCCTATAGCAAATTAAAAAAATAAAAAGCGGGGACCAGCAGTTAGCGTAATGGCTATGTCGCTGGACTCCCATATAGTCACCTGCAGTTTGCGCCCCGGACCCGGTGACTTAAAACTCACTCCAGGCACGTGTGTGTGTGTGTGCCCAAGATCCCGAGAATGGAGAAGGGTTTGCGGTGTGGCCATCCCCCCTGGGGGGTGATTTCTTGCTTTCTGTCTCTTTGTCTGGTGAGCACACGCGCCCTATAACAAAAACCTCTCCAAAAAAAAAATAAAATAAAAAATAAAAATAAAAAGCTTAAGAGAATTTCACATTAATGCATTCTTCTTGGAGTTATGGAGAGTCTAGTATGCGATGGGGTCACTTTGCCATCTTTAATCTCCCAGTCTTTGCAGGAGTTAGAATTTTATCTTAGGGCGGGACCAGCAGTTAGCTATGTCGTTGGACTCCCATGTAGTCGACCGCAGTTTGAATTCTGGACCTGGTGGCTTAAACTCATACCTGGCGCGTGTGTGTGCATGCCCAAGATCCCGAGAGAATGGAGAAGGGATTGCGGCATGGCCCTGGGGGGTAATCTCTTGTTCCTGTCTTTCTCTGGCAAGTGCATGTGCCCTATGGCAAAAACCTCTCAAAAAAAAAGGAATTTTATCTTAGGGGGCTGGCTGGTGGCGTGGTGGTTAAGGGCGCTGGGCTCCCACATGACTGACCACAGTTTGAGTCCCAGAGCTTGCTTTTTCACTTTTAGTCTGTCCCTCTCTGGTCAAATTAAAATAAATAGATAATTCTTTAACAAGAACAACCATATTATCTCGATTTGTTATGGTATGTTATCAGTTGCCAGAGATAGAATAAATGGGAGGGAGAAAGCATCCCCCAGTGGGAGGTTGGTCACACCGTGACCCTTTCTCCAGTTTTTCATCTTGCTGGGATTTTGGGCATACACACACGTGTGCTCAGCATAATTCCAAACTGCTGGGGACAGGATTTGAACATGTATGATTCAGTCCCTTAACCACCAGGCCATAGGGCCAGCCCTGAGATAGAATTCTTCAGGTCATTTGTCTTTCTACTTTTGAGCAACTATATTCTATTATAGCTGAACTGCCAAGCCTAAATGTCTGACCCATGTCCAGGGCAAAATTTATTTAGGTCTGCCAATTAAAGGTTTTTTTTTTTTTTTTTTTAAGTAGTAGGGTCACTGGCTATTTTGGGAACTTTTCTATTTGTGCACACAGACTGGAGTACTGGCACCAACACTGGTTACTATGTGACTTCTGGCAGATTACTTTTCTTGACCTTCAGTTTCCACTTCCACAAGGTAGGAATAGCAATAACTTCAGGGGCTAGTACTATTATTTACGTGATGATCTCGGCCACGTTAATTAACTGCTCTGTTGCTTCAGTTTCCTCACCCATAAAATTGGGTTTTGGTACCTACCAAAAGCGTCTGTTGTGAGGACTAATAAAGGACTACACGGTAACTATTTATGACAGAAATGGCCTAACAGAGTGGCCTAAAAATGGTAGGTGGCTTGAAATGATTACCCTCAGCCTCAGGGGTTGTAAAAGAGCAATACGGAGGTGTAGAAAGGCACGGCCGGCTCTGAGGAGCGCTGGATATTCCGTGTGGGTGACCACTGTGCCACACTAGAAAGGCCCTGGTACTGAAGAGATGGCTTTGCCCAGTGGTAACAGCAGTGAGTTTGGTCACGTGGGGTCCAGGAGGTTGAAGATGTGGTTTTGGGAAGATCCCCTTGGAAACAGGATAGAGAAAATCCTGGAAGGTACATGGAGGGTAGGAGAGAGGGGAAAAAAGTAGCAAGCTCACCACTCCGCAGTTAGGAAAAGGTTTTTCCATTTAATACTAGACTTTCAAGGATTGAGATGCAAGCTTTTTATGCAATTACATCCAATGTTAAAATTGGTAATACATAATTTACAAAGATTAACATCAAAACAATCATCTATTTAGATATGCTTTTGTAAAAAGGAAATATATTAGCAGCATTTATGTTCTCCGCAATCACACAGCCTACAGACATGCAGACTAACTCGGTATCTATTTGCAGTGATGTAGTGCTTCGCCCCGCGTTTCAAACACCAAAACCCGCCTGGCAGCTGGAGGGTTCTTTTTATTTCGTTATTATAAAATAACCGAAAAATAAAAAAAGGCATTAATTTCTACACCAGTAAGAAAAAACAAGTTTTTGCACTTACCTAACATTTGATTGTCTAAAAAACATTTCAGTTTTTAGTCTTTCAACAAAAGAAAGATAAAATGACAGAGCGTAGTGTCTTTTGCTTCTGTTCTTGCATTTTACAAAGTTTTTTTTCTTTTTCATCTTTTTTAAAATTTTAGTGTTTAACACTATAAAGGAAACATTGAATTTTAATCTCTTTCTTGTCATTTTCTTGCTTTCTGACTAAAAGGAGACCCCCAAAGTGCCCCTAGTCCCACCTCCCTCCCACCCACTCCCTGCAATGAAAAACAAAAGAAATCACTCAAACGGGCTTGGACATGCGATTTTTCCCAGCTCCACACGTGAGTATCTTATACCCAGGTCTCTTAGTAATGTACAGTGCTTCTCTAC